CGCTCTGTAAACACGTCACCTCCCCATCATCTTCCGTCAATATGTCAGGTAACTGCTCTGCTGCGCCAGTGGAGAACAAAACTAGCCAATGCTGTTTGCTGCGGTGAAACCCTCTGAAGAGTGTGAACCTTGACTACTGTTGTGATCATTAGCTTGCTCTCGTATCCAGCTGTCCCTGGTGAAATATCTAGGCCAAGTCTACAGATCTGCTTCACCGAGCCGTGATCTGGAGAGCATGAACGCGGTAATTGGTCGCCTCCCTCAAACACTGCGTGGTTTTCTAATTGCCCCGTAGTAATAAGTAAGGCAAGTGTAATACCCGTTAGTTTGTTCGTTCCGTTTTCTCTGTTCATTTTTCACGCTGGTAGGCGTGAATGTGAGTAAACAAACGAAATGAACTTGTTAAACCCGCAGTCGGTGCCTGCCACCATCAATTGTTGCTTCGGTAGCCGTATACACACGTGTACATGCGAGCGCACACTCGCAACGGGTGTGTAATAAAACCGTATCTAAGGGGAGAGCACTTAAACCCAAAACCTTGTCGTCATTTGGGTAATGTAAACTCTATGTTTGTACTTGTCTGCAAGAGTCTCACGGTTTTCGAATGACCGTAACACCTAGAAAGAAAGTAGACCGTAATCAGTAGTTGCTGTATTGGGAACAGCGAGTGCGGTTAGTAAACTTCTGGCCATGCTGTATCTAAATTGCACCATAAGCCCGTCACCGTCTTAGCCAAGTCCGTCAGAGTTGCAGTGGCACTGCACTCTATGTACAGGAGACAGCACCCGCGCCAGCACCGCCAATGTGCGGTTACCGCCATTTTCTGAAAAGACACAAAAACTCAAAAGCTGCTTCATATGATTTGCACGCTTTGCATGTTTTCCAATATCGCCTGGTACGTGAAGGTTCGATTATTGCCGTTAACTGCGCACAAAGAGAGAAGATCTTGTCACGCGATGGACTGCGTTCCTTTACACAAGCGGCCCGCCGTCAATCGTCAGTTGACGTGCGTCGGCTTCGGTCCTTCACCAGCCTTCCTGTAAGGCGGCGTGTGCAAGAAGCTGAAGTCGTTGGTGACCATCGTGATGACAGCGTGGAGGCTATGTATTGGTCTCTTCAATTGGTTAGCACGCCAACACCAGGTCTGTGATCAATTTCAGCTACCAACGTTGAATGAATTTTGCTGTTATTTGCCATGTAGTTTCTGATGGTTGCAGGACGATCTTGTCCGTGGCCACGACGACGCGCAGCCATTGAGGGCCAGATTCACGGGATGTCTTTAACAGTTTTTGACTACGTGCTTGGCCTACGTGACTATTTGTGTCATGGTTCCATTCTGGCGTTAATCTAAATCATGCAAGCTTGTCCAAAGAAGACATGGTTTGCATGCGTGTGGCTAACGTATGAGTATTTGCTATTTATATTCCCATTCAGTTAGGCGTGCAGAGAATCTGAAGCCATTCTGATGTCCATCTGTGAGCGTTGACAGAAACTTCCAGCCGCTGAGCCCCATCTGTCTATACTTTTTGCCCCCATTACAGAATAGCTCATGACTCAACTTTCTTTAATGAGCCAAGAGTGCAGCTTAAGGAAGCGGAGCGCCCCCCCCCCCCCCCCCCCCCGCCTAAGCTCCGCACTTTTCTGTTAACACCATAGATGAATTCCGACGGAAAGAAAAGATAGTCGTGCTTAATTCCCCCCCCCCCCACCTACCTTAAGAAAATCCTGTCTGCGTTCCTACGATGAGCCAGCCCCTAAGCTGCACGCTTTTTAAGGGAATGCCTGCTTGTTATTTATGCCGTTCAAACACAGTCGCAAAATAGATTGTATTTGGCGCGGATGAGCAATCCATGCAATATCGCTCGTGCTGCGCACGCTCACCAAACGTGCTCCAGGCGCTGTCCGTGTTATGGTGTGCTGGTGTCACCACGTTGCGAGGTGACCGTACCAAACGACGGCGGTAGCTGCACAGCCCACCCCTCCACGCGCTGCATGCTTATGTTGCCTCCTTTGTTCCCACGGTAGCCGGCGCTCGGGTTCCGTCGGCCCGCTTTGAACCGACCTGATTCATTTGTGAAGCGGCGAGGCCTTTAAACGCCTGTACCGTCCAATTACCATCCGCTGCCGGGCCGGACCGAACCCGCGCGCGCTCCCCAGCGAGAGGGGCGAGCCGCACCGCCGCCTTTAGATCGGCAGCCTGCAGACGGCCGCCGACGCGGGAGGACCTTGTCGGGTGACGTCAGCGCGCCGGTGTCGCGCCCGCATAACGAGCCGATCGCTTCCCACGGGCTGCCGCGGGCCCTGCGGCGCAGCCTACCCCGCGGGCGCCGGCCGCGCCCGGCCGCGTCCGCGCTGGTAGCCGCTTTTTACGATAATCGACACTGAGAATCTATTATGGCGCGCTGTTACAATAAAGGGGCTGGCGTCGGCGGCCGCTCGGCGCTGTCGGCTTTTTCTGCTGCTTTATTGAGCGGGGGCCGCGGCGGCGACCGCCGGTTCAAACGGCCCGCACCCGATAGCATCTGTGCATTATTACCGGCGGCCGGCGAGCCTTATGGCTCGAAACGGCCACGTCACCGGATTAAATCACGTCGGGAGCTGTTGCATGCCGCGGCCGATCTGCCGGCGGCGCCGCGGCCGCCACCGCCGCGTGTCACCAGCCGGGCGCCCGGGCGTCGCTCGCGTTCGACTCCCGCCGCCGCCGTCGGCCGGCAGCCGGCGGCGGCGGATGGAGACGGGCGGAGGCGCGGGGCGTAGGGGACAGTCTGCCCGCCGCCGGCCACCGAGCCGTGACCGCGCGGAGCGCCCCTGAAGAGGGCTCTTCGCCGTAATCCGAGCCTTATTGCCGCCATCGCCGCGCGGACAAGCCGGCCGGGCGCGGCGGCCGGTTTACTGCGGCGGACTGCGCTGATGCTGCCTGACCCGCTGACCAGCAGTGCCGGGGCATAATGAGCAGGGACCTGCCAGCATTCCAGCAGCAGACGGCTAGTTCTTATCAACGCTACTGATGCTGCAGGTTCCACAAGCCGTGCCACTGCCGCGTTCTCACCGTTTATCCATCAGCCTGGTAGCCTCGAAGCTCCGAGCCATCCTCAGCTGATCCTATTACGTGAAGCGGCTCGCAGCCCAGTTAACTGATCTCGATCGGTTCTGATCAGCACTTTTGCACCAGCCCCAGCCGGTCCCGTGAGCAGCCTCTCTCCCTGTCTCTCTGGCCGCGCGGCTGTGCGCGGCTGCCAGGGGTCCCCTGTGTCGGGCTCGGCTGTGTTCGTTGGTTGAGGATCCCCTGTGCCGGGCCCGGCTGTGTTCGCCGGTTGGGGATCCCCTGTGCCGGGCTCGGCTGTGTTCGCCGGTTGGGGATCCCCTGTGCCGGGCTCGGCTGTGTTCGTCGGTCAGGATCCCCCGTGCCGGGCTCGGCTGTGTTCGTCGGCCGGGGTCCCCTGTGCCGGGCTCGGCTGTGTTCGCCGGTTGGGGATCCCCTGTGCCGGGCTCGGCTGTGTTCGTCGGTCAGGATCCCCCGTGCCGGGCTCGGCTGTGTTCGTCGGCCGGGGTCCCCTGTGCCGGGCTCGGCTGTGTTCGTCGGTCGGGGATCCCCTGTGCCGGGCTCGGCTGTGTTCGCCGGTTGGGGATCCCCTGTGCCGGGCTCGGCTGTGCTCGCCGAGCGAGTCGCCCTGTGAGGGCCTCGGTGCTGGTCGGCGGGAGTGCCCGGCGGACGGAGCGGGGATGGAGTGGGGATGGGGCGGGCCGGCTGGCCGGTAGCGGAGGAGACCCAGTGACCGGCACTACTGCCACCGGCTCACCTGGCCGCCAGGACCACCGGTCCGACTCGCCACACTGGGGACGCCGGTCCAGGCGGGCCTGCATTTTATCGACGACTTTACCTGACTTTCAACATTGACAGTCCGAACTAAGCGACGCGTCTGAAGAACGCTTCTGGCGCACTGGGTAGACTGTTCGAGCCGCGACTGTCCTCTCCCCCCCCCCCCCCATCCACGGTGCAAGGACAGCGAAGGCTACATGTTGCATGCAACCGGCTTCTATGGCACATGCAGGATACGGGCTACAGTGCTTTCGAAGCAGGAAAAGCCGCGCATCCGTCAGCTGCTTTCAAACAGCGTTTCGATTTCTACACGGACCGCCTCACGCTTCAGGCTGATAGAGAACCGTGTGAGGTCTGCGTGGCTCCACACAACAGCAATTGTTTCATTTCGTCGAAGGTCAACAAGATAATTCAAAACCGCTTTCATCTCAAATGATCTATTTGGTCTCGATATCTGGCACTTTCTAATGCGTTTCTGAAACCCAGTCGCAGCGGACGCATCACTATTACATCCGCCTCCACGCTGTGCGTGTTTGGATACGCTCATTTCTTATCACGCGCTTTCGTCACAAAACCGACGGTCTCGCCGCTGAGCCGTGTTGTATTAACGCAGGCCATCTGAAGAGACCTGGGAGAGCACCAGCGCGATCTTCACTTCGTTTTGTTCTACGCGGCACTGGCGGGGCTAAGGCCACACGAAGTTCAGGGAAATATGAGATGTATCGAGGGACTGGGATCCTCCGCTCACCCCCAGCCCACCGCCCGTGCTCAGCAGATGTGGCCCTCGAAGTTCAGAGCTGATGAACAGAACCAGAATTGGTAGCCTGATATCTGTAGTGTCTGTTTTGTTGACATCTCTGGGTAGAGTGGCCCAGCAAACCCCGAGTATGCCTGGCCGCTGCCCACTCATGCTCTAACCCAAGTGGTATACTCAGACATATGTTGTCAAGTGCCGTGTCGGGGATCTCTGTGTATCAAACGTCGCATCACGTCAGCTCGTCTGACGTCATCTGACGTCATCTCAAACAGAGCTGACGTCAGACACCCTCCGAGATGCGTTGTGCCCACCTTTTCGGCCGGACGCAACCAGGCCTGCCGTCTGTCGTTCTCAGAACTGCCCTCCGCTCCCCTTCCCGACCGGATCCACGCGGCACCTAACGCGCGCGCGCTCGCGTTCCAGATCCGGCACCGGTTCGGCTGCTACGACGAGATAGCCGAGCTGCAGGGCCACCGCGTGCGTCACTGCAACTGGGTGCGCTTCATCAGACACACCAGCGTCTGCACGCCCGACGTCAACCTGGTCGGCAGCAAGTTCAGAGGTACGCCGCCGAACGCGCTTCGCGTAGGACTCAGACGTGGGGACAATAGAGGCAGAGACGGGGTGGAGGATCACACCCATCGGCTTTCTGCGAAAGCTTCGCGCTAACGTTGTGATGATGCATGAAAAATCGATTTTAAGACGGGGTTGGGTGGACGCACGTCTGGGGCATTCCTGCGTCCCTAGCGGACAGCGACGGGTACTGTTCAGATCAGCGGCGGAGGAGCTGGGCGTGGCGCCGGCCGACTGACGCTGCGAACGTGTGATCAGGAGGGGTGGTCTGGACGACTGACGCTGGGCTGCAGAGGGCGAAGGTTCGCGTCTTTCGGACATGTTGTGAATGAGGGGGGGGGGGGCATATCGCGTTATTTCCGCAGTCGAGTGGGCAGCATTCCTCGTCAGTTGCTGGTTAATTCTGCCACCCATTGTCTGGCGCTCGTCGACTTATCGCGTCCTCTCAAGAGAATCGCCCTTCACTGTCAAGTAGGACATATTGCATTATGGCTTCTGGGTGACTCCGGTTAACCACCTGACTACTGGACCAAGCCTCAGATACCGAGATTAGCTCTGGCTCCGACGTCAGCGCGGTTTCTCCACCAAGGCTCCTGGAAATTCCTTCCTGCGACTCACAAAAAGTGTCACTCTCAATCGGCTATCAGTGCGGTCGAACGGCGGGCGCGCGCCCGGCGCCGGCGTCGGTCCAGCGGCCAGCCTTTGTCGCCGGCCCATCCGATCTGCAGATAATATTGTGTGGATGCAGGCCTTTTGTCCGAGCGGCGGCGCGGGCGTCGGCCCGCCGCCGCAGCCTGCAGCCGGCCGTCCCGGGCGCCGGGTATTGTCATCCGACGTGGTCGCGCTCACAGATAAACGATCAGGCTATTGAAAGCGGCCGTCGTCCGCCATCGCGTTCGGAAGCCGCGCAAAAATCGCGGGCACAATGCCGCCGATGGCTATCGCACACCGGCGTTTGTGCGTGCGCGGTGGACACAGTGCTCAGTGCACGCGCTCGAGGGCACGTGCGGCCCGGCTCACGCGAGAGCGCCGTCGCCTCCACGGAGGACGCGGCCAGCAGCCGCCGCCAGCGCGCCTCGGGCTGCGCGGTGCCTCGATTCTTCCGCCGCGGATGCCTGCGGTGGCCGGCGGCGATGTTGTCGCCGCTGCCGGCGGCCTGCGCCGTGCAGGCTGCACCAGCAAGGTCGGCTCGTCCAGTTGCCGGTGCCGCCGAGGTCATCAGGCGCGGTCCGCGCCTCCGACGAAGAGGCGTCGGTGACGTCACAGGGGTGGCTGGAGTCCGAGAGTATTGGAGAATGGAAAGAGGAGGCACCAGGCGATGAAAGTACTCTGTGGGTGTCTGTATCGTCTTGTACCTCTTCCACCCACTCAGTCGAAAACCTGATCTCGTCAAAAACAAGATACAAAAAAGGAAAGGTGTGGGTGTCTTATGCATCGGCCTTGTCAACACATGCAACGCGCTAAGCTGCACTCAGCTGGGTATATTAGAGACAGTAAAACAAGCACGCACTCACGCACACACAGATTAGCCGTGATGACGCACATAAGCGGCAGGTAAGACAGCATGCCGCGCTGAAGACCGTGCATGCGGTTGCGTATGATTCGGCTGAAACATGCGTTTGTTTCGAGCAACACATAGGACAGACGCAATCATCGTGGGTTATGGTGTCCAAAGGAAAAAACGTCGTGTAAGTAATGTGTTTGTCTGCGCACTTCGATGAATAGCTACCGAAGTGGTCACGCTTGAAATCTCAACGAAGTCCTGGACACTTTGAATTCCATTTTCTGCGCGCGACGCTATGGATTCAAACTAATGTCAAAACTCATAGATAAGACAGCAGTATTAACCTTATTCCTCGGAGAAAACCAGGAGAATGGAGATACAGTTGGGTTGATCTCTCGGCAACACGCCATAATCGAAACAATGGCAGAGGTTCCGCTATTGTTTCGATAAAGGCACGTTGCCGAAATATCAACCCAACTATATGTCCATTCTCCTGGTTTTCTCCGAGGAATAAGGCTAATACTGCTGTCTTATCTATGTTATTGGCAACCTCAGCCCTGCTCGGTGCACCGTTACGTTACGCTACAAACATTCGGCGGCAAAATATCACTGTTCTGCGACCTGAGAGCATTTAAGGCCTCTGTCCGTAAGCTCAGTTGGGTTAAATCCTTGCGTGAATGAGTGACTGCTTGCCAGCCGGACCAGCCACTCTCCTGTGTTCACGCCTGCCTGTTCAGAAACACTCGTGGTTGAGCCCACATGTCTACGACTGGCCTACATTTGCCAGATGCTCAGCGAGGCCGCGTTACGCTGTCCACATCTGGCGGGTGGGGGGGGGGGGGGGGGGGGGGGGAGTTGTATATGTGTGCGGCATCCCATACGATCCCGTCGTCAGGGAAGCTTCCAGCGGCCAGAGCGCATCTGCAGCCGCAGTTCGCAGTTCCGGCGCGGCCTCGGACGGCTGCGACCGGTCTATTTCACACACACACGGTCCTGTCACGACTCCCCTGCTCCGCACCTGAGCTACCTCGGTCTGTGAGGCGTTCTCATCAGGGCAAGGGAGGGTGATACCAACATGACTGCCGTCGACGGTATCATCACCTCGCATGCCTATGTCTATACAAGGCAGCAGTTTCGCATTCAGTTGGAGGTATCTGCCGCCTCGCCCTCAAACTTTTCCGTCCTCTCCATCTTCAAAAGAGAAGTTGTTTAAATCCGTGGAGAGATTGGGCTTTATTAGGAATCGCTTCCTCCCCGCATCAACTGATTTGGAAAAACTAAGTCCCAATTGCACATGCCACTGGCAGGCAGGAGGCTCCTCGCGCCCACGGTCTTCGTCAGGGGTGCGGCCAGTATGCTTTATGGGAGGGGTCCGAAGCTCGGTGAGCTCGCTCACACCAATTTCAGCCTCTCTGTCGGGAGTCATTCATGGATAAAAAAGTTAACATTCAGCACTACGGGGGGGGGGGACAGGGCCCCGGCCCTCCCCCTTAGTGCTGAATGTTGAGTTTGTTAACCATGGCTCTCCGTTCTATCATCCGGGTGGACCATGCCTGTCTCACAGACGTCGGCCCGACCCGGAGAACCTCAGTGCTGACCGGGGCTCTAGCCGCCGCCACTGCCCGAGCCTCAGTGCTGACCGGGGCCCTAGCCGCCACCGCTGCGGGAGCTGCAGTGCTGACCGGGGCCCTAGTCGCCGCCGCTGCGGGAGCCTCAGTGCTGACCGGGGCCCTAGCCGCCGCTGCTGCGGGAGCCTCAGTGTTGACCGGGGCTCTAACCGCCGCCGCTGCCGGGGTATCAGTGCTGACCGGGGCCCTAGCCGCCACCGCTGCGAAAGCCTCAGTGCTAACCCGCGTCCTAGCCGCCGTCGCCGCTGCGGGAGCCTCAGTGCTAACCCGCGACCTAGCCGCCACCGTGGTGCCCCAGCGCTGACCGGGGACCGCGCTGCCGCCAGGGGAACCGATTTACGAGGTGATCCGGCCCATCGCAGCTCACTCGGAGATCGTGGTGTTCTACCTGCCGGAGCGGCCACAGGAGGAGTTCGTGCTGCCTGCCGTCGCCTACCTGCGACACTCGCTCTACAAGAAGACCATGTACGCCATCCTCGAAGGTAAGCTCACCGCTGGTGCCGGCTGTAGGCTGTTTGTCCACCTGCGACACTTGCTGTACAAGGAGACCATGTGCGCCGTCTTGAGAGGGCCTCTGGCCGCCGAGGCCGTTGTCGAGTTATAACACTTCCCTGGCTGTCGGCGTGCCTTCTCAGACTGGCCAGGTCACCAGAGGTGACCTTCTGCCCGGGTGGTAAAATGACCTGCAGTTCAGGGGGCCCCGAGGGAGAGGGCAGAATGGTCGACAAAAACGCGCTGACTAGACTTCCCGCCTTTGCAGGCCATCAGGAGCTCTGAACAATGCTCATTCAGTATTGTGGGCAGCGTTCCGGGAATCTCCGTTAGTTGACAGGTCTTATCGCTCGAACTGTCAGGTGACAGCTTCGAATAGCCATAAAATGCATGAGGCATCTGGATGACGAGATAACAGGAACTCAAGAATAGAGCTAATGCTACTGGATGTCTGGTAAATGATAGCTGCCCCATTGTATTGAGATCTTATTCGGACTACAACTTCCCGCTAAAATGCGCCGAATGAATGCAGCGTCGTCCTCAAACCCGCCACTCGCGTCCGGATTTTCAGCCGACTTGTGACACCAATACCCACAAGCGGCCAGTGCCGACCGCCTGCCCGCGCGCGGCGCGGTCACAGGCCATGATGTGGCCGTGCAGCTGGTGCAGCGGCCGGCGCCGGCGGCGGTGTCACGCGGCACCCGCGGCGCGCCGCTCCCGATCGCGGCGCGCCGGCGTCCATAAACCGCTGTCGCGCGGTCGAGTTAGAGCCGACCGCGTCGCCGCGAGTTATCGATGGCGCGGCTTTAATGCGCCGATCGGCGGCCGATAGCGACGCGGCACCATAAACCCACGGCCGGCGAGGCGGCGGCCGATACTGCACTGCAGCCGCGCCGCCGCCGCCGCCGCCGCCGGCGGCGGTGGCGGAGCGCTCGCTGACGCCCCGGTGCGGTCGGCGGACGGTGCCGCCGGAGTCGGCACTGCCTCGGTCACCAGTGAGCGCCGGCTGGCTGCCACCATTGTACGGTTGCCGGTGCGGGATAACATCGGGCACGCGGCGCCCCGCCGGACCGTGCTATCAGCACGGCGCATAGTCGCCCGGTGCGACCCCGCGTGCGGTACCGCCGCCACCCGCGGGGGGAGATGGGCGGGGGGGGGGGGCATCGGTCGGCGGCGAGGGTGAACGCTCGCCCCCTCACCGCCGTGTGTTTAGGCCACCGCTTGCTGGATGGCGCCCGGCCGGGCCGGCGCAAAAACGAGCTCAGCCGCGCAGCCGCTTCAAAGTCGGCACAGAATTAATTAACAATGAGTAAAAAGGTAGATTAATCACGGGTAAAAAGCGGCAGCGGTGGCGCGGCGGCGGCGTCGGCGGCGCTGCCGCAGCGGCGCTGGATGCGGACCGGGCCGGGTCAGGGTCGGGTCAGCGGCGCCGGACGATACCGGCCCTAATAGCCGGTCGCCGCCGCCAGGAATGTGCATAACAAGCACTCAACGCCGCCCAGAGCTGCCGCGCGCGCAGGAAGTCGGCACCAAACGATCCGGCTTATTAAGATTCCGCCGTTCGCGGGCCCGCATCGGTGGCAAATGTCAAGGTGTAAGGTTATAGATGGGGGCTGCGCCGGCTGCTTTTCGGCATACATTGTGGCGCAAACATGCAAAGCTCTCTGCATCAGCATACGGGAACTGGCGTGATTGATAAGTTGCGCTGATTATGCCGGAAACAGCTTCGGTAAGCATCGGAAGCGACTGTTATTGTGTGACTTAAGTAGGCTCAAGAGGATTACATTCGGACGCCTCAATCTTTACGTGTTTCGCTCATCCCCTCTGGTGTGTAAGGCGCGCGGGGAAAACGCGCGTCGGCAACTTTTTTTCGAGCAGCCAGTAATTCAATCTGAACTTAAGTTGTAAGCACTTACGAAGCTAGTTGTGCAATATATGCACGCATGCTGCTGATAATCAGCGGTAGCAATTTTGTGGTACTGGTCTTCAGTATACCTGTTCTCTGTTCGACGATAAACGGATGCACTCGTAAAGGAATTAATTATCCACAGAGCTGGTAGATCAGTTCCAGCGTTAGTATTTACCGGGCGTTGCTGAAGGATGCTTGAGTTTTGCGAAGCAGAGCAGGCAAATCCATCCACTACAAGAACTGCCTCAAGGTGCTCGCGCATGCTCAAAACGACCCTTAACAGGATACACCGCAGCTGCGAACGTGCGGAAGCAGATACGCTCCACAGCGCGGAGGCCCCTGGCCGGCCCTGACCTGCCGGCCCCCGTCCTCAGACAGCCCGCTGGACCTGTCACTGTCGCTGCTGTCGCGCCAGCGCGCGGCCGCCGCCAACCCCGGCCGCCGCCCGCCGCCCGACGAGCGGCGCGCCGCCTCGTCGCCAACGTCGACGGCGTCGACGCTGTCGCTGGGCGAGCCAGAGGCGGCGCGGCCGGGCGCGGCGCCGCGCCGGCCGCGCGAGCGCACCATGCTGCCGTGCCAGGTGTGCGGCAAGACGTTCGACCGACCGTCGTTGCTCAAACGCCACATGCGCACGCACACAGGTGAGGCCACGGCGGCGGCCACTGCCGGCGCGCTGGACGGGCAGGGCCCAGGCGATAGGATGGAGTGCGAGCGTTTCTCGCAGGAGACGGCCTAACAAACACGCGACTGCCCCTCCGTAAATGTCGGCTTCTCTCCCGTGCTGGTGCTCCCGGAGAGGCCAAGTGCTGTAATCGCCTCATGACGAGTTTGCGTTGAACGGAGTGTTCAGCCTTTCAACAAAGTTTTCGCCCTCAGATGTTGCCATTTGGAAGCTGGTGAGGTCGAGATTGTGCCCAATTTCAACGTTGCATGTCTTCGCAGGAGTATTTAGAACAGGTGGGGCCTAACATCCTGCGCGCACCTCTCCACAGGGGAGAAGCCGCACGTGTGTGACGTGTGCGGCAAAGGCTTCAGCACCAGCTCCAGCCTCAACACCCACCGACGCATCCACAGCGGCGAGAAGCCGCACCAGTGCGGTGTCTGCGGCAAACGCTTCACCGCCTCCAGCAACCTCTACTACCACAAGATGACGCACATCAAGGTAGGCAGACGCCGGTGGCAACCGACTGCAAGGCCGGTCCAGCTCCTCGCGGAGGTCATAGGCTCCCTGGCGGGGCGCAGGGCGCGCCACCGCCGGCTGCGTGCTCTTTCACCGGTCAGTGGGCGTGACTCCGCCGGATCAGGAGAAATACAACTCCTTCTTCGCTCGCTTTTCGAATGGTTATGGTAAGGACGGATTTCTCAAACGGGAAAATAACATGACCGCTAGGATTTCTGGGGACGGTCATGCTCCTCCGTAATTTGAGGTGTGGTGCCGTGCTCTCCCATCAAGAGAGCGGAGCGAGCTCATCACGACACAGCTGCACGCAGCCGGTGGCCTACTAGCGGCGCTATCGGCGGCCGCGATGAATGGTTTTCCCCGATGAATTCCTGCGTGACGTCACTAGCGCATAAGCGAACCTCAACCATAAAGAACCCGACCTTCCCATTCATAGAACTCGCCGACCGGAGGCAACTCTCACCAGCGGAGCCCCTCCCCCTGGCCCCGTCCCGAGGGTGAGGCGGCCGGCCCGTGCACGTCCGGTGCCGCTGTCATTCCTGCGGCGCCGGCGTGCCGTGCGCCGTACTGCACGTGGCGGGGCGGCCCCGGGCGCCGGCGGCCGGCCGCCGACCGCCGGCGCCCCTGCAGACGATCGCCGCATTCCTGCGCCGGTGCAATATGTGAGCTGGCCGACCGCGGCACGGGCAGAGGCTGCACAAGGAGGCGGCCGGGAGGCGGGACAGAGGCCGGCGGGACGGGCGCAGGAGAGGCTGACGGAGGGGACCAGGGGGTGGAAGGGAACGAACAGCTCCGCAAGTGCCTGCTGAGGGCGTGAGGGGGGGAGGGTACATGACAGAGGGATAGTTTTCAAGGGGCAGGGAGGCGTTACGACAAAAGTGCATCACTGACAGGGAGAAAAGTGCGGCCTACACCATGCTGGGGTCTGAAAGTCATAGAAACGGAGGAGGGTGGGAGGTACCGGGCTGCATGTGGTGTGGGCAGGGAACATGTGCCCGCATCAAAAGGCCTGGCCCTCAGTCGTTCTCTCGCCGCCTCCCGCCTTTGGGCCAGCCGTCCACTTCACTACCAGCAGCCATAGTGGCGCTTAATGCATTGAACTGAGGCGTGGGCAGCAACCTGTCGGAGCGTTAATAACTGACTAGGCTTTGTCCGTGTTTTCACATGTATCTGTGCCATAATCTAGACTCCTCCCTCAACAGTTACAAGGGCGGCATTGTTGATAGATGTAGCCCAAACGAATTAGCCCTCACCGCTGCCACTGCACGTGCCCCGCTGGACCACGTCCGAAAGAGCGGAGGGCTGGGCTGCTGTCGGCTAGGTTTCCCAGTGCAGCCCGTCACGTCCTTCGGCGCTTTCAGCCCCGCGCTGAGAGGCGCACGTCACTGGCAGACCGGTCGGCCACCGCGCGGCGCGCCTCGCCGGTCACCGTGTATCGGTATGTGCATTAACGGACACGGGGTGCCGTGGTAGCCGTCCAAGATGACAAAAAGGAAGGGCAGAGCTGGGGTGGTTTGCAGCGCGTTTCTGTACCTTTGGGGGACAATGCAGACGCCGGTCTTGATAGCCGCTCTAGGGACTGAAACAAGCGTCAGGTCTTGAGTGGCTTGCAGCGTTTTTGTATTTTCACACGTTGCAGACACGACGGCCTGCATGGCCGAGTGGGTCCGCGCCACATGTCGCCCTGCGGACACGGTCCAGATGCGTCATTGCATGCGCATCAGCGGGCCCAGCGGCGCGAGACCCAGATGGGCCCGTGCACGCCTATCAGCGGACGCTGCAGACGCGGCCCAGATGGGTCGGCCGGTGATGTTGCACGTCCGAGCCGCGCAATCGTGCGGGCATCCAGATGAGACCAATCACGGCGCGCCGCTCGCTGACGAACCGTTCCGATCAGCGCGCAGCGGGCCCGCGGCCGGCTGGCCGGCCCGGGCGGCGCCCGTCCTCCGAGCAGGCGGCGGCGGGGCGGCTGCCGGCTGCCACCGCTGGAGTCCTCGTCCTCCGAACAGGTGGGGAGGGGGGGGGGCGGCTGCCACCGCTGGAGTCCTCGTCCTCCGAGCAGGCGGCAGCGGGGCGGCTGCCGGCTGCCACCGCTGGAGTCCTCGTCCTCCGAACAGGTGGGGGGGGGGGGGGCTGCCGGCTGCCACCGCTGGAGTCCTCGTCCTCCGAACAGGTGGGGGGGGGGGGGGGCGGCTGCCGGCTGCCACCGCTGGAGCCCTCGTCCTCCGAACAGGCGGGGAGGGGGGGGGGGGGAGCGGCAGACCTAGAACGAATGGAACCTGAGGTCCCTGTCTGTCGCGACGGGCGCCGGCGGCCTCCTCGGTGACGGGCAGCCGCCGCTGGTCGCCGGGGTTGAAGGTGTCGCCGCTCTCCTGCAAAGGCGAACAGCTCCCTCTGAGAAGGTCCAGCGAAGACTCGCGACCAGCAGGCGCCGCCACTGCTGATCATCGCAGGCTCATCAGTCCTCGGTCACAGTCACAGCCGCAGCCACAGTCCTCAGCCGGTCTCCTGGTGCGCGGCTTCATAGTCAGGCGTGGCTACTGATGCGTCGCAGCTCCCGGCTCGTAGTTATGCCAGAGGCAGTGGCTGAGACGGAGGGGCAGGCGGGAGGGTTACCACAGCTGCGTCAGGTTACTTTGATTGCAACCGAGCATACAGGCAACTCTTGCCCAGCCAACAGCAAATATAGGTATGAACAATGAGCCAGGATGACAGCTGATACCAATCTCTTCAATTCCATTTCCTGTTCGCTATGTTTTTGGGTTCTGGGACATGCACCGTAATAATGATCCAGACGAGGAAGAATCCGGAGGGCCTCGTTTCATCATCATTACATTTGTGAAGACAAGACAGAACACAGAGGAGGCGAGGTGAGACGAGAGGAGAGAGGAGGAGAGGAGAGGAGAGGAAGGGAGAGGAGACTAGGGAGGGGAATAACGAGCTAAGCGAAAAATCGGGCATTGCCGCGGTGCTTATGAGAAGCCCGACAGCTATCCTGTTGTCCCGCACGCGAGAGACACGCAGGACAATTATTGTCTGGAATTTATTATGGCCTATGGGATCAGGCGAACAGTAGCGGGAATAGCCCCATTGTTTGGTGCTATGATAAATCACGTCCATTTAGGCTGGTCGGGCCTGCAGGCGTCGCCGTCCGGCGGCCGGCGGCGGCGGCACCAGCCCGTAATGCCCGAGTGGCGCCGAGGGTTCGCGGCCCCGCCGGCGGCGCCGCCGAGGCCGGCCGGCGCCTCGCGCGCGCGGCTCGGACGGCACTGGGCACGGCACTGGGGATGGAACTGGGGACGAGGCTTGGATAGGACTGGGACGGAGCTGGGACGGGACAGGGACGGAGCTGGGACGGGCTGGGGAAGAGACTGGGACGGAGCTGGGACGGGGCTGGGGAAGGGACTGGGACGGGACTGGGAAGGGGCTGAGGCGGGTCCGGGGCGGGACTGGGACGGGTCCCGTACAGAGCTAGGGACGGGACTGGGACGGGACTGGGACGGGACTGGGACGGACCTCGTACAAGGCTAGGGACGGGACCGGGAAGGGACTGGGAAGGGACTGATACAGGTCCGGGACGGGACTGGGACAGGACTGGGGCGGGACTGGAGGCGGACTGAAACTGGAGCGGGACTCGGCTGAGAGTGCGGTGTGTAGGGATCCGGACGTGCCGGCCACAGGTTGCAGCAGATGAGAGCTCTGCTCACGCCGCTCTCAGCGCCAGATGCCGCGTCACGGCTGAGGAGGGGGGGGGGGGGGAGGTTTCGGCAAAGGTGTCTTCGCGTGACAAAGCCTGCGTGGACGTCGAGCATATCGTCACAGTGTACTGCACATTTCGCTGTTAGCATTGTCTAATGACGTTGATTGGCCTCTTCTTCCTAACCGAAGCGCGGCCCGGAACTGTAATGAAACGATCAACATCCAAGCTGGTTATTCGGCTTGGTTGGAGGAGGCTCAAACATTCAAAGTCATCGGGCTCAGCTCTGCCTAATTACAAAGGAGCCACGAGCAAAAAGGTTAGTGGCAGACGGAGCCACTGATAACTGTAAACAACTCCGGAAAAGTACAGGGCAGCACAAATCGGATGATGTTAAGTTCCATTTACAGTTGGTTACCCCCTCGTTGTCTGGCTGTTCTGGTAGACAGGGAAAACGGCCCAGAGGTTACGGCTGCGGGCTTATCTGTTGGCGTCTGTTAGCTGCTTGGCCCATGGTAGCCGGTCGGCCAGTGGGTCGCCGTTGCCCGCTCTGCCGGTGATTGCTGGTCGGCCGGACAGTCGGGAGGTCGTTTCGGATGCTGGCAGCGGCTGCTGTGGCCGGCTGCTGTGGGATGCCGTTGCCCGCTCTGCCGGTGATTGCTGGTCGGCCGGACAGTCGGGAGGTCGTTTCCGATGCTGGCAGCGGCTGCTGTGGCCGGCTGCTGTGGGATGCCGCTGCCCGCTCTGCCGGTGGCTGCTGGCCGCTCGGACTCTCGGGAGGTCGCTCCCGATGCTGGCAGCGGCTGCTGTGGACGGCGCGGCGGCCGTGCGGCCTGTCCTGCTGCCGGTAATTGGCGGCCTCCCCGGGCCGGCGGTCTGTCGCCACTGCCGGCCGATCACCAGCGCCGGCAGCGCCCGGCGGCCGGCCGGCGCTCTGCAGGGGTGAACAGCGAGACCTGCGCCCCCGGTGCAGGTGCCTGCCGAGGACAAAGGGGCGCGTAGGGCGGCGGACTTTACCTGTTCGCCGCCGGGCCGAGGGAGTCTGCGGAGGCGCTGGGGCGGCCTGTGGCAGGGTGGGAAGAGCCTGTGGCCGGTCAGAGAAGTTTTGGGACGGGTTGGGGGAGTCCGCCTGTTTGTTCGGTGGAGAACCTCCTGGGTTTGGCTTTCTGCCACAGAAATGTCAAACGGCAACTCGAAGCTCAGAACAGGCGACCGTAAGCTTGGCCACGCCGGTCCGTCACAGCCAAGGTGCACAGCCAAGGTGCACAGCCAAGGTGCACAGCCAGACCCTGGGACTCCGCGCTCCGTGGACCGCCGTCGTCAAGCACCCCGCCTATCAGTTCGTGTCAGCCGGCCACGGTCTGACCGGCCTCTCCCTGTCCCGTGCTCTGGCCGCGACTGATCCGGGCCGGTGGACGACAGCCGCGTGTACGGCGGCCGTGTCTGCAGCGCGGCTGCCACCTCTGACCGGTGCTCTGCAGGTCGGCGGCCGGCGGCTGCCGACCGCAGCCCGCTAATGACGGTGCCGGCGCCGGCCTGGCAGCGGCGCGGCCCGCCGGGCCAGGCTCGGTCCGCGCCGCCCGCCGGCAGCGAGGAGCTCCCCAGAGCGCTCCGGCGCCGCCCGCCGCCGCCCGCCCTGTCCGAGGGGCTGCGCGGAGGGCACCGCACGGTGCCGACAGCCCGCGCGGCGTGACGGCGAGCGTGACCGGCGGGTGCCGTGATCTGTGACGCGTGACGGGACCCGAGCGGCGAGAAGACCCGCGGAGCTGGCGGCGGCGCCGGCCGCAGCCGAGCCCAGGCGGCAGTGACCGGCGACCCGCGCTGGTCGTCGCCTCGGGCGGCACGGTCGGAACGGTGGCGGTGAGAGCGCCACACAGACACCCCGTCACCGCACGCGAAAGCGCGCCTGCGGTGTTGCCTCGACCCGCACGTGCGTCCACGACATCTGGGTGCACCCGGCTCGGACTTGGTCCGGACTCGGCCTGAACTCAACCCGGACTCGGTCCGGACTCGGCCTGGACTCGGCTCGGACCCCGGCGGACTCGGTGTCCTCTGCAGCGCTAATTGCCCGTGTGCACGGTCAGAGGAAGCCGTCCCTCGGCGGTCCACTCGCCGGCCGGCCCGGTGCCGACTGCAATCAAATGGTCATTTCGGGCATGACTGGCCGCCGGCCGGCTGGCAGTCGCGGTTTGAAATCACAGAGGCCTTCTGCACCCGAACATATGTCAGGGTGAAAGTGCACGATCGGCGCCGCGGCCGAGCCGCAAACAAGCCGGCTGCCGCAGCCGATCGTCGACGCCGGAGAAAACACTTGACGACGCGTCGGGCGTCAGGCGGCCGGCCGCCGGCGGCGTCTCTTTTCGCGTGCCGAGGACGACGGTCTGTGGTGTGTCGGAGGGGGGGGGGGGGGGGGGGTGCGACGGGACGGACGGGCACGTGCTGGGACAGCCCGAGAGGGGACGTGCTGGCGTCAGGTAGTAATGAGCTGGGGCAAGATAAGCCGGCGCGTGCTTGACGAGAACGAACCCGGTGTCTCCGCGCTGGCCGCGTTCCGGTGTTGGTCGCAGCTCGTAGTTAGGCTTGGCTCTGCAGCGGCCGCAACTCAATGCAGCTGTAGCTCAGCTCTCTTACGTTGGGTGTCGCCCGCTCTGGCTACGGCTCCGAGCTGGCCGTGTCCATGTGTTTACCCCCGCGCTGCGCAGGCTGTGGCTCCCCCTGGCGACTCTGACCTGGCCGCGTCTCTGCGTTTACCTGAGCCCCGCACCGGTGTTCAATCTTCTTTGGCTGCGGATCGGTGTAAACCCCCGTCCAGTGGAACAGCAGCCGGCCGTCCAGCCCGCATGCCCCACGGCGCCGAGCCGGCCAGCCGCCGCTTCATGCAGGTGCCACGCTCGGCGCCCGGGCCGCCTGTATCGGTACATCACGCCAGCTGGGCAGCCGTGGCGGCGGCCGACCCCGCCACTCCGCCGGGCGGAGCGTCACCGGCCTGCTGGCACTGCCCGCATCGCACCCGGGGCCCGGCGCGGCGCGGCGCGGCGCTGCAGAGAGGGGAGAGGGCCATTAATGCACGACAACACGGGTAATGAGGAGCCTTATTCTGGTAACACATTCATGGTGAAATGAAAACCGGCTTGGGTGGACTCATTTTTCAATGAGATGGACCGCGTAGCAAAAAATACACACCGGCGGGGAAACGGTAGACACTTGGCCGGAGTATTTATCCGACAAAAATTCTCCCTTCAGTCATCCAGTGGCCGGTTATGCAGCAGGTGGCTGCCTGTTGTCGCCCCCGTTCGGCTGGGCTTGGGCGTGACCCGAGCGGACTGGCCGGCCGTCCGATCTGGAGCCTCGGCCTCACACGTGCGCCAGCCGTCCGGCGTCGGCCCGCGGCGACGCCGGCCCTCAGAGCGCCGCGCCGCGCCCGTGCGATCCATATTCATCGGCAGCCGCCGCCGCAGAAAAACTAATGATATCCTATCGGAAGAAGTCTCAATTTGTTCTGGTGTGCGGCCGCCGGCCGGCGATGGAGCGGCAGATAAGCCGGCCGGCGCGGCCCCTCCACCCGGCCCATTAATGCTCCATATGCTACAGAGCGGCCGCCGCCGCCGCCGCGCGCGCGCGCCCTAAAAACCAGCGGTGCCGATCAACGCCGCGCCGCGCCACATCTCGTGTCAGGCGCGCCACATATCGTGCCGTCGACGGCCGGAGGACCCCCGCCGCGCCGCCCGAGGCGCGCTGCACCTGTGTGCAGGCCGCGGTGCCGCCCGGCTGAGACGGGGGCCTCCCGGGCGGCGCGGTACTTAGGAGCTGTGTTACGCTGCGATCGTCCGCTCTTTCTACCTCCCTCTCTCTACGTGTGCCTTGCCGTTCCTCTTGCTTGCCATGCTTATGTGCATGCTTCCTGTGTTCTCTAGCGACCCCTTCGATTAATGTTTTCGCCCTGTTCATTCTTAGCCGGTGCCTTAGCATGTTAATTACACAAGGCGTGGTGTTCACACCCCGTTCAGTAAAGCACGCCGACAACAAACACATTAATAACTGTGTTCATCGTCCGCTAAACCCATCGTAATCCCCAACATCAATTTCTCACCAAAACTGGTTTTGCTGCTCGGCGCCGGGCCGGTAGCGCGCCGGCCCGCCCAACGAGGCCCGTCCCCGGACGCAGAGCAGCGCAGGCCCCAGGCCGGGCCAGCCCGGACCCGCACCGTTGGCAGCCGCCGCTAAACACGGGGCGGCGGCCGCTGGGGGGCACGGCCGGGCTGGCGATAAATCTGTCGGCCGCGCGGCTGCCGGCCATACTGCACACGTGACGCGGGCGGCGCCGGCCAGCGCCGGGCTCCTGTTGGCCTCCTAACGGGCGGCGCGGCGCCGGGCTCGCCGCCGGACCGGGGCTCTCGCGTGCACGGCGACGGCGGCGGCGCCGAGACGGCCGCCGGCGCGCCTCGCCGGGCTGGAGGAGCTTCGCCGACTGGCTGGTGTTAACTGGTGCACCGTGCAGCAGCAGCCATGTGGTGTGGGAAAGGTGGAGAGCGATGGGAATTTGCATTCCGAAGATTGGAGGCTGCGGACCAGACTGTACGCTTCCGACAGCGCTCAGATGGATGATGTTGTTCGAGTTGGCGAACAGTGCAGCAGCCACCACTGATACAGATTTGTGATGCTGTTGCAGTGCAACCGTTACTCGAACCGAGACGGCGCCGGCCGGCTGGTGACCTAAGCGCTCACGCCTGTCGAGCCCGAATCGTTACCCGGTCATCAGCAGATGTCTCTCGCCTCGCCCCCGGGCCTGACCCGACCCAGAGTCATGTAGGCTGCTATTAAGCGAAGTTAAACGCGTTCTAACGCCATGTACCATGCTGCCAATGCAATGTTAAATACCTTGCCCAACCTAGTTTAGAATTCCTCACGACTGCTTTGCGGGTGACGTTTTCCCGGCGCTCGCTCGCCGCGGGGAGACAGCTGGGTGATGCCGCCTTCTCGTTCCGCAGGAGAAGCCACACAAGTGCCAGCTCTGCTCCAAGTCCTTCCCGACGCCGGGCGACCTGAAGAGCCACATGTACGTCCACAACGGCTCCTGGCCCTTCAAGTGCCACGTCTGCAGCCGCGGCTTCTCCAAGCAGACCAACCTCAAGAACCACCTGTTCCTTCACACAGGTGAGGAGGCCGGCGATCAGTGCCGCGCGCGCGCTCAGCGCACCTTCTATCACTTCTCCGCGTGTTGCGATGCTGAAAAACGAGCACAGCTGTCACCACGCACACAGCTCGACAACTGCTACTGAACAGAGTTCATTCATTTGTCTCACTACGGTGTCTTGCATCAGAAGTCGGTCCCACTCGCTGCTGTCTGAGCACTGACGGCGACGCGACCCGGCCAGTCCCCCGGGGGCGCGTCTCCGGTGGCCCGTCGGCCGCGCCGGGCCGCCGGTGCCGCAGCAGCCGTCTCGGCGGCCGGCGGCGGCGGCACTCTGAAGCGGGCCCGCCCGGCCGGCGGCGCGGCGGCGCGCCCGGCAGGGGTCGCGCCGGCTCGCTCCATTAGCCGTGTCTGGCAGGACGCGAGGCGATTTGGCCGGGCGTCGAGTCATTACCCGGCGGCGGCGGCCGAGCGCCGCCGGCCGGCCTTTTTGTACCGTACCGGGCGGTGCGGCGGCGGCCGGTGCCCCCCGCGGCCGGCCCCCGGGTGGGGGATGACCGACCGCTGCTCGGCGCCGGTGGGCGGCGGCGGAGCCTGACCCTGGGGCTGTAATCAGCGAGAGATTACATCCCGCGATGTGTAACTGCCGGGCAGGTGTCGCCGCAGCCGTACCTGTCGCCGCCGCCGTGTACGCGGGTGATTTGCGCCTTTGTAGGGCGGGTAGCGCCCCGGAATCGAACCTAAGGTTCTTCAGTCTCCGGAATCAGCCCGCTTTCAACCCGACTCCCCTTAGTGGGGGAATCGCCTAAACAAAGACTGATGATAATGATTGAGGTTTCGTGGGAGGGCAGTCTTGGTCCGTTCTTTTCATGCAAAGCCTTAGATGTCAAACTAAATATCCATGTCGTTGAGGGACGCCCCTGTCCCACCCTCACCTCCTCAGTGGCGCCTCCCACGGTTCCCAGCCGCAGGGAAACTCAGCCGCCGTGGCTGTCCGACGGCACGCCGGGACGTGCCAGCGAGCGAGGCTGGCGAGTAATCGGAATGGCGTCGCCCCAGATGATTTTGTCTCATTTGTGTCGCACAAACATCCCCGGCGTCTGGAGTCGGATTGTGTCCGGCGGCTCCCGATCGCCGTGAGAGACAATGTTATTACTGGCGGAAGGCATTCGACTCATGTTTACTACAATGGACAATGGCGGTTGTAGCGCACAAAAAGCGCCCTAAAAACGTGATTGAGAAAAGGTCTCGCCTCGTACAATATCAATTTTCTCGGGAAAACAAAAGAGCTACGACTGCCGACGGTTACGCCGGGAAAACAATGCTCCAAACTGCGAACTCATCGTGCCGTTTTGTTCTATCCAACATCATGTGGTGAATATAGATTACTTAGTCACACTGCGCGGCAAACAGATGCGGTTCGGCGCGATGATTAATCTGGACTGGATACGGGAGAAATGACGCGGCGACAGCGGCCGGCAGGAGCGGCGCCTTTCAATGGCCGCCCGGCCCCCGGGTGGTGCCCACTGCAGCAATTGGGCAGTGCCCCGGGCGCGGCAGGCACTACAGGTGATCGCCTGTGCCCCGGAGACCAATGGCTCAGCAGAAAATTGGGCGGTGATTTGGTGGGCTCTGTAGGTAATCGAGCAAAGCTCGGGGTCAATAGGCGCTGCAGAAAATTGGCCGCATTCCGCCAGTGGACAGTACGCGAAAATCGGTCAGCGGGCCGGGGGCAAAAGAACGTTACAGATGGTCATGTACATTTTGAAGTCTTAGCAGGCATCTCACTTGAAGCATTTGCAATTATTGGTTGTTCGGCAACTCCTTGTTGGAGGCACGGACATGACCGGGCAATGTCACGGCTCGGACGCCGGTCGCAAAGACAATCTTCTGTGCATCTCCCATCCCCTTGTGACTCCGTCAGAGCTGACGGTCTGACCCGTCGCAGCTGACGGTATGACCCGTCGCAGCTGACGGTCTGACCCCGAACAGCTGACTGCCTGACCCCGTCACGGCTGACGGTCTGGCCCGTCGCAGCTGCCGGTCCGACTCCATCATAGCTGACGATCTGACCCGTCACAGCTGACGGTCTGGCCCGTCGCAGCTGCCGGTCTGACTCCATCATAGCTGACGATCTGACCCGTCACAGCTGACGGTCGCCTGCTCCGTCGCCGGGGCGCCGGGCGCCGGCACCGCTCTCCGGCTATCGGGCAGGGATCGGGCCGCACCGGCCGGCGGGTCGCCGTCCGCGGCCGGCCGTCGCCAGCGTCGATCGACCAATCAGCGGGCGCCGTCGCGCGACGTCATCTCACCGCCGTCATCTCGCGGCCGGCCCCAAACAATTATCTCGGCATCGGATTCATACATCACGGCCGACGTTCGGGGGCGAAACACGTGAGCGGCCGCCGCTTTCCCGTTACAATGCGCTGAAAAACTAATTACCTCGGGATTTCCCACGCTTCGGAGCTGATTTTGTTTGTGCACACGCCCCTATCGCAGCATCCGCCGTGATAGATGGGCGGCTCTCATGGGAGGGGTAGGCTACCGGGCCGGCGGCGCGGCGGGGCGGGCGGGTGGCCGACTCCGCCCGGCGGGGCTCGGTCGGTGCCGTGCAGTACCGTCGCCGCATTGCGCCCCGTCACGCGGACACGGCCCGTCGTCACGTCACATCGACCGACGCCGTGACGACGAACACGAGCCGCGCGGCGCCATGCCGCTGCGGCGACTCGTCAGTGAGCTGCTGGTGCAAGCCTGCGGGATGGGTGACCGGCTGCGTCTGCAGCAGGCCAGCTGTCCCATGTGCACACTCGCTGCGGTTGTGTTTTGTCCATTTCTTGTTTTGAAAGATCTGATCAAATGTTTTGCAGAGATGGCTTTGGGACTGGAGCTCCTGGTTAGCCTGGCTTCATACAAAGAGTTTGACCCTTCGCACCCGCGTAGTGAAATTCCACTTCAGTAAATCAATTTTGCCGCGATATTTTAACAGCCCACGCAATGCCAGGACACGGCCAGCTCGGCCCGGCGCTCGGCACTCTTGGCCAGCTGCCAACTGGTTGTCGATGACAACCACATGAGCGCAGCATGGGTACGTGAACCCATCCACTTACCATGCGCTGTCGAGAGGGTCTCGACAAACTGAACGGCAGGGACGATATTGCAGCCTGCAGTGACACATGGCCATAGTCAGACAATTATTGGCCCAACTTTTCAGTTGATATCACGGCATTTCATCTTGGCTTGGTTATCATGACAGTTCCCAGCTGGGAGCTTGTTGATATGCAAAAGTGCCAGACGGGAGAGGTTTTGATGTGTGCTATCGCGATTCTCTGGTGTCATCCGACGCTGCCTTCGGCTCCCGTGCACCGAATGTCATCCGCATTCCCGTGCTACTGTGTTCCCGTGTTCCCTGTGTGCAGGCATCCCTCGCGCAGTCCACAGTGCCGACAGCGCCGGGCGGCGGCGCCTGAAAGCCATCAGGTGCGATGCACGCGCCGCTGAATACCGGCAAGTCATACAAAGACAAAGCCATCCGTGGCTGCGGATTGACAGGCACTGATTGCGCGTCGTCTCGACGGTGTCAGAGCAAATTGTGCTGCATTTAACGCTGCATCAGACAGTAGCACCGGTAGCGGCGCGCCGAGCGGGGGCCTGCAACGCAGCACAAGAGCGTATCGGCGACTGCAGGCCCTACTGCGTCCGCGAGGGAACACCAGCGCCAGCTCCGGGGCCAGGCGTCGGTGATCGGTGAACAGGGGCCTCCGATCGGCTCGCATGGCTCGGGCGCGATGGCGGCCAGTGGCGGCCTGAAGGGCCATTGGAGTGCCGGCATTGGTCACGTGTCTGGGTCCAGCTGATCTAGGCGACGCACGCCACACGCCGTGGGAAGTCACGCAGCTGCGGCTTTGTGCTCCGCTGTGCTCAAGAATGCGGCCGCTGCTCATCGGGGCGGAGAAAAAGGAACGTTAGCTGGTCTGATGCACGGTCGCTGAGGTTGCGAAGGGGCTGCTGCCGAGGGAGAGGCACAGACCCAGCCCCGTGGCATGGCATGGCATGACATCGCATGACATGGCATGGCATGGCATGGCATCACATGACATGGCATGACATGGCATCGCGTGGCATGACATGACAGCCGGACTAAGTGAACGCCGCGCCCGAATGCCATTGGCTGCTGCTGTGATTACAATTTTGCTCTGAAAGTGTGACCTGTTTCAAGATTCAAGTTGCAACTTTCAAACTCTAACCAGAGGTTGTGCTTGTTTTTAAGGAATCGTTGATGTGTCCATTAAACTCGATTGGTCCGAGATGCGACCTTCACTTTTCTCCTTCGAAACAGCAGATCTGTCTCTATTCAGTGTCACTGAAGGTGGGCGTTCGCAGTCTCTGTGCGCACGCTCATCTGTGCTTGGTGCGGTCTGATGTCATGACCAGGTCAGGCCCCGCCGCGGCGCCGCCGCCCACCCGATCACCCAGGCCTCCGGCGGCGCGGTCGACCCGGCATGGTTGGAAGCAGGCGGCTGTTTATGAGGGCACAGCATGATGCACACTTAGATGCGGAAACTGGGGCCCGTCCAATCACCCGCCCAATTACAATCAATCGGAACAAAGCAAATGGGATCGCCGCTGGAAATGATGCATTTGTTTATGCGTCGGCGAGCGGGCGACGTCAGTAGTCGACGCCGTCGGCTCCAGCGGCGGGCGGCGAGAAGCCGGCGGGCGCAGGGGCGCCCGGCGAAATCGCTTCCGAACGGACAGTGGGCCGGCGCAGCGGTGGCGCCGCCTCCAGTCTCGTTCTCTCTCCCTCTCCCTCTCCCCACGTGGCGTTCGGATGAGATCGCTCCCTGGTTACGGACGGAGGGAAGAGGAAAGAAGAGATTGGAGGGCGCGTGGGGTTGCGGTTGCGCACATCGCGCCGCGACGAACTGGGAAGGTGGGATGGAGTGCGTCGGAGGGCCACAGATGAGATGTCGTTTCCGAAATGGAACTCAGACCATACAAATACAGCCGTCAATATCGGACCAAG